TTGCAGGGCGGAAGTCGTGCGGCCAGGCTATATCTCTGGAGGACAGGATACGGAATGTAGGCTGTGTATCTTGTACGAAAGAGGGAAACAGCGTTGCCGCCTCGGGGCTCGCTGCCAGCTGTGTAAAGTACGTGACCAGCGTTTCAGCGTGTGCGATTGTGCGGTTGAAGATGGCGATGTTTTTGATGCCGAGATGCAGCATGGCGTAGATTGCGGCGCGGGCCATGCCGCCTGCGCCGATGACGAGGGCGGAGGTGATGGAGGGTCGCACGGCGTTTGCGGGGGAGAGCCCGCGACGGATGCAGGAGCGGATGCCTATCCAGTCTGTGTTGTCGCCGAAGAGGGCTTTGACGGGGCCGGATTGGTTGCGTTCTTGGAAGAGTTCGAAGCTTTCTGCGTTGGGGATGGTGCCGTCTGCGTTCAGATGGCGGATGGGGAGGATAGTATTGATGGCGCCGATGGCGCGGGCGTGGCGACTAACTGCGTGGGTGAGGGCGAGGGCGTCGACCTTGAAGGGCTGGCTCACTGCTGTGCCACCAAAATCTGGTTGAAGGATTAACTTCTGAATGATGTCGTCTAGTTTCCTGGTTTCTATGCTCTCGAAGTGGTGTGGCATCCCACAGGCTCGGTATGCGGCGTTGTGCATTGCTGGACTTAGACTGTAGGCTGTTGCTGCACCTGTGATGTAGAATTTCATTGGATCGTAGGTGAACGAAGCGTATAAAATGTGCGTAGCTTCCGTTACAGTGAGCCATGATGTTTCCGGATTTTTCTGGGCTCTTTCTTTGAAGTTTTCGCCTTTCCTCAGCTTCTCCGGGATGACTGGTGTGAGGACCTGATTGAAACAAGCAGAGCGGCGTCCTGCCCTGCCAGTGTTATAGCATATCATTGGTATCCTCCGAGACTTTGCGTAAATCGTGTTTCTGAACGACTGGATCGCCGCGTTGTCGTCCATGAAGTTGGCTGGGCGCGTAAAGCGTGCGATACTGCACCCCAGCCGCATTGCCGTGTCATACTTTTCCAGCCAAAATACATCGTACCAGTCCATTGCAGCGTGTAAATGGCCAATGATCTTTGTGGACCCCCTGGATGCGACAACAGCTTGTATCAGCTCCTCATCCATGGTCAGGTCGACTGTTATGAACTCTGGTGCCATCCGCAAACCATGCCATACGCTAGCAAGATACGCCGCTATCGAGTAGCTCGGATTTGTTGATATAGGCATGACATGGTAGATGATTGGTGTGACGGTACTCCTGCGGACCCGAGATATGCTTTTACTAATGTCCTCGGCGTAGTCTGCACTAAGTTGCTTGGGTTCCACTACGATTTCGAATGCGTCACAGCCGAATTCTAGTTCCTCAATGTCGACACCGTCAGAGGTGAGGTCTGAGAGTTGTACTTGGACAGCACATGTGTAGTTTCTTAGCTCCAAATCGATGTATGATAAGGGGAAGTAGCCGGGATCTAATGTTGGGGTATCGCTTTTTGTGCTCCCAGGCGTACCCCTGGGCGATAGGATGCGAGCCAAAAACTTGAAGAAAGTCCTTTCTGCTCTTTTCAGTGTTAGAAAAGCTGGCACAGAGCGTTGTTGGGCAGGAGCGACGGAAAGATGCGAAGCATTCGTTTCAGAGATGTTGTAGAATTCATAGTTTGAGCACCGTCGGAACACGGGCGTGCTGATAGCGACTAGTTCTTGAACTCTGGCCTCATCGGTTTCCAAATATTCACGTATGCTGCGGGTATCCCGTGTGATGTGGATGACGGGGTGTGATGCTGAGAATTCGCGTAATAGAGACTGGGTGTTGTTGTCCAACGGAAAGCTTCCATTACAAACAATGATGGCGCCTTTGCTGTGACTGTGAAGCACATCGCGGAGTATCTCTTCCTGGCGAAGACTACGATTTGAAGATCCGTATTGTTTCCGGTATGCGGTGGTTGAAAAGCCGGTGGCAGAATGAAAGACGCTTTCCATGTCGATAACTCTTTTTTGACAGATTACAGATGCCATCATGGCCAACGTCGCTTTTCCTGTTCCATGCATTCCAATGAGAACAATTGATGCCCTCGAGTCAAAGACACGCCGGAACTCATGCTGAGGAGGTGATGGTGTAGACCTTGCCGAATTAGGTAGACTTCGCTGTTTCGACGCTGGTGGAGACGGCGTTGGGAGCGAACCACGCCCATCTCTTGATCGGCTTTCTGTATTCATTGTCGCAAATGAGCGTTTGGTGCCGACCTTCACAGAAGCCATAGCCCTCAATCTTGCCGATGTGTTCCTGGTCGCGAAGCATGAATGACTTCCAGTATCGCATCGACTTGGAATCGCTTGTCGTCCTGGCGAGTCACGTGACATCGGCTCTCCCCGCTTTTCCCGGGATAAATCTTTATCCTACTACGGGGAACCCTTCCCCAACTTTCTCCACTAACCATCATTCGGTAATTTACATGGATTTCTTCGGCCCAGGCAAACATGCCTGCTTACCAGGCCTAGATTGATTGTCAGATTCCTCTGCTAGCGAAGATTTGGGGCTATGCTGCAACACCTACCTAATTGATCTTTCCGCCATCAAAAAGCAAAACGCAGTTAATGTCTTCGCAAAGCCAAGATAAGCGCCGCTTAATCTCACAAGATGTTCCCGTAAAACGATTCCGAGTATCCAGAGCTTGTGATCAATGCAGGACTGCCAGAGAGAAATGCGATGGCAACCAACCCACTTGTTCGCCATGTGTAGACAACAAACGGGACTGCACGTACACTTCAAACCCAAAGAAACGAGGATTACAACCTGGATATATACGCGGCCTTGAAACGACATTAGCATATGTCTTTCAGCAAAATCCCGAGATCGAGACGACGGTGTATAACCAATTATTCCAGGAGAATACGGTTTTGCTTGCACGGGGCACTAAGGAGTCAAATCGATTATACAAAAGCTGGACCAAGAGCAGATTCTGTCAGGATTTTACTAAGGCCTTAGCTGGCGAACAAATAGAAACGAGAGAGGAAAAGCAAGCAAGCCCCAATGATGACAGCGACGTGGATGTAGAAGATGCAACCTTTAATCAGACAACGCCTGGAGCTCAATCACACCAATCAGTAAGATGCTAGAAAATGCGTATCAAAATGTATACTAACGTGGATAGTTTCCATCGGTCAGTGCTCCAAGTCATGTACCGGAACAGACACCCAGACCCTCATTGTCGGACCTTCTCTTTCCTAATGTACAGCAATCTGTGATCCTCTCGGCACAAGTGCCACTACCTGCAGACTCATGGAAATTATTGGAGACTTATTGCACATATACGCAATGTTGGCTGCCGATTGCGGATAAGCTAGAGATACTCAAGTTGTCCTATTCTTATCCTGAACATGGACTAGAGTTATCCTGCGACATGACAAATTCCGGAAGTCATGCCGAGATGTGGAGTATATTTGCAGTAGGGTCTCTTCAGATTGACTCCAGGAATACGAACGTCGATCTACGAGATGCGCAGCCTGAGAAGTTCTATGATGTCGCTAGGCTTCTCATCCCCACTGAATTGGGACAGCTTGGTCTTGATCATGTTAAGGCTTTACTAAATCTTGCCGTCTTTAACATCAGTAAAAAAATGTTCAGTGCTGCCTGGCGTCTTGTCGGTACTGCTTTGCGAATATTTCTGACCACCACAAACCCTCCGGATATGAATAAGACCCAACGAAAACACATCCTGTCCAGTTGTTTCGTCCTTGACACTCTGCTTTCTTCACAGTTGAAATTACGTCCTTATCTGGATAAAGCTGATCTAGATTGGATGGGGAAGATAGAAGAGGACGGAATGGAAGAATGGCAACCTTGGAACGGGCAGCTGAGAGTGCCATCAGCTCACCAGCCGCCGTCACCGACCTTATCATTGAGTACATTCAATGCTCTCCTGGAATTGGTAGACATATTTGGGAGCACTACACGTCCTCAAAATGCCCCAAACTTCCTCCACGAGATGATTAGCCGCCTTGAGGCATGGAAGTCTTCGCTGCCACAGAAACTCGACTATATTCGGAAAGACTCTACTCCCATGACGCCACCTGCATTGTTGCTTCGATTCACCTACTGCGTAACTGCACTGGCATTTGTTCCTTCTCATAACTGGTTTCAGCAAACACTGGATGTGCTCAGCACAATGAATACCCAACTCGGAGCTGCGAGAATACCTGCCATTGTCTTTTGTCTTCTTCAGAGTATCAAAAAGAGCGGTTCAACTCTGGTCTTTGATCAGACAACACACACGAAGATGCGTGAGTTATTCACCAGCCTTGATCAGTCATTGGGTCGACCAGAAGAAGCATCCACAGGCACTCGAGAAGCAACAGGCTCACACGAAAGTATACCCCAAGATGTCTCAGGGCTAATGCAAGCATCTCCTTCGTTCCCCATACCGAATATGGGTGAGCCTTTCATCGAGGGATATCAGCGAACATCTGGCTCTTCAGCGCATGTAGATGGCCTTCTGCCTGCAATGAACAACGCACAAGAAGGTGACAATCAACACCCATTCAACCCGTTTGACTTCACCATGAATATCTTGATGCCGGAATCTCATGATCCGTACAACGCTCTGATTTCGGGAGATTTGGGGAACTTCCTCGACGACTTTGCTTCTGAGCATGGAGCGAAGAAGCTGCAGAACCAGCCTCAATTTATGGAAAATCTAGGATTCTCTGCAGAGATAAGCATGGCCGATCTACTGGCAACAGACCCTACTCGATTCTTGACTACGGGTCCGCAACCAGCGCAGGATGAAAACCAGAATTCCACGCAACTTCCATTTAACACGCTGTACGAAACCCGTTGAGATATCTGAACCTCAAGATTTTTGAAAAAAAAATATTGGCTTGCTACTAGAAATGGTTTAATATATACGGTTGCGAAGAAAAACAGTCTGGATGGAGACTGGCTGTTTACATACTACGCTATCAATATTGGTATCACAGGAACAAACGAAAGCAATCAGCTCATGCGCTAAAGGCGTGCAACTTCAATCTCCTGGATGACCTTTTTGGTTTCCTGCCCCTTCTTACCATGCACATTTTCCAACTTCTGTGAACTAGACGAAACGCCCCCAATGAACCCCAAATCCTGTTGCAATTTCCTCCAAGATTCTGCAGCACGCTCTGCCAGTTCCTCAACTACCGCATGATCTGCGCTGTTCATGATTCGGTTGAAGAGCTCCATACTGACCCATCCATCATAACCGACCTCTTTGATGATGGCATGTACAACGTCTCGTACCGGCAAATACGCTCCACGTGAGGTCTCACCGTAGAATAACCTGCAATTCCTGCTCCATGACATGCGAGCCGGCTGTTCTACATTGTAGAATTCATGGCCACGTACCAGGGGTTGCGCGAGCCGTTCTGCATCGACAACCTGGACAAAGAAAATCTTTTCCTTATGTGGCTTGATTCGTTCAACAAGCCGTCGCATCGACTCGCGAACCTCTTTTTCTGCTTCGGGGGTTTTCCTCGTTTCTGAAGTGGGATCGGCGTATATTCTCGCGAGGATGTTGAAGCTGTCGAGGCAGATGCCAAAGTTGGATCGATCAACCCGCGTTACAACGTCCCAGCATTCTTCCCACTTGTTCACACGCGTACCCCAACCCAAGCTTTCGTACGCAAACCGCATCACTGGCGATTCTTGAAGTCCGAGATCTGCAACTTCCCTGAGATCGCTGATGATAACCTCCATATCTGAGGTCACTTGATCCTCCGGAAGGAATGATGATGGAATTTGAATGATATCCGTTTGAAGCACCTGGGCTATCTTTATCCACAGCTTCATCTCTTGAACCCTCTGTTCGTGTCGTTTTCTGTCCACCAGACCCTCATAGTGCATAAATGGTTGTAGGCAAATGATCTCAAGGCCGAGAGAGGAGCAGAGATCCCGAACAGAAGCAGCGCCTGCGAGAAGAGCAGAAGGCGAGTCGGAGCCAGCGTGATCAACCAAGTCTTCAAAAAAGAGCTCGATACCTTCAATTCCATGCTTTGCGGCCATGGAGAGTTTGTGCTGGAGGCTGTGGCCAGCATAGGACCGGCCTAGCGACATGGACGAAATCCCAAGACGATACGGCATCTTTTTGCAATGTTGAATATGTGACAATGTAACTTAGAATTGTAAAATAAAATAAAATCAGATGGTTCAAGATAATGCAACGGAAGTTATTCCAATAACCAGTTAAAATCAAAACAAGCAACCAACCCCCCCTCTACTAATAAACCAAACACCCAAGTCCCCCAAACCGCCCTTCCCCCCCACATCTCACCACCTGATCAACAACACAACCCCCCGTCTCCTTCTAGAACCGTAACCCACGCACGTTGAATTCTTTTGCCCCCCTCCCTCATTCCTACAGAGCAATAATCCTTTATCCCCAGCGTTAGCACCCAACCAAACCGACTTCTCGGCATCATCCTAGTAGCCCCTGCCCCTAGACTGCGCGCTGACGCCATGCAACGCCCGCGAATCAATGCACCGATATCCAATGCACCGATGATCAATACCCCGATGGTATCCGCTTATCTCGGGGGTAAAAGATACTGCGCTAGCCTTTTGCAGCCGGGGAATGCCGTTGCCCGTTCTTGCTGCGTCTCTGCTGCGTACTACTGCGTAATGCAAGCGAGCAGTATGCGTGCTGCGTGTCGTTTTTACAGGGTCCAATGCAGAGTATGGAGAGCAAAGGTGGTGACGTAAATGGGGGGAGCTAACAAGGGCGGAAAAGAATTTTTACCCGGGTGAGTTGCCAGGTTGTGATGGGGCGTCGTTTGCTTCGGGGCCCGTTCTGGGGAGTGGACTTGGGGGTTATGCAGGGCGGTCTGAGGATGGGGGGACTTGGCGTGCAGGTGGATTTTTATGGGGAGAGCATGGAAGGAGAGCCGATAGTGTGGGTGTGGGTGTGTGCGTGGATGAGACGTAGCTGGGATGGTGACGTGTGGTAGAGAAGGACTTGGAGGTCTTTTTCTCGGTGGATTTTTGGGTTCATGTAATTATGAGTTTACTCAAGTGCTTGGTGTAGTTGATTCATGATATTTTCATTAGACTATTTCGTTTCATACAACACGATACAGTGCGCCGACTGTCTTAAATCCTTTTATATCTAAAAGACTTTCTAAGCCATTGTGATATGCTCATCTGCCATCGCCTTTTCGTCTCTACGTGCCATAGTGTCGTTCTCGTGTTCGGCCAATAAATCGACCATGATGCCATGTGCTTTGTGTGTAGGCTTGATTTCGAAAAGCTCGTCCATGCGCTCGAGCGGGATACCCTTTGTCTCTGGAATCAGGAAATAGCTGAGACTCGTTAGTTCATGCTTATGGTGAGAATCAAGGTGGGGCAACACTTACACAAAAGGAATAGAGAGCAACATGAGGCAAGCAAAGAACATGTAGACACCATATTCCATGGTGGAAAACATCTGAGGAGTGAATCTTGAGATGATAAAATTCCAGAACCAGTTGTTTGCCGCAGCGAATGCTTGGCCTAGAGATCGGGTTTGCTGGCTGTACATTTCAGAGTTGATAACCCAGGGGGTACCGTTCCAAGAAGGCGTGTAGAAAGTAGTCCATAGATAGAAGAAGAAGATAGCGCTGATTCCTCCCGGTGAAAGGTCGCTGGATGGGTTGCTTTCGGGTTGAGCAATCTTGATGTAGGCAGCAATGTACCACATGCATAGAGAGCCGCCAAATGCGCCGATCATGAGAAGTTTTGTACGACCAAGATAGTCAATGAGCCAGATGAGCCAGACGAATGTCATGACTGTCTTGACGACTCCGAAAATACCAGTGGTAAGGAAACCCTGGGTAACGCCTAGACTCTTGAATACGGTCGGAGAGTAGTAGTTGATTGCGTTGATGCCGGATCCATTTTGCCAGAGGAAAAGCATGCCACCGAGGAAGATACGCCACATGACCTTACGTTGTTTGAGTGCCAGGAATGGCTTCCAGAAACCTGGGCCAACAGTGGCTCTCTCGTGTTCCAGTTGATGATCAATAGCCTCGAGCTCTTCGACGATGTACGTATGGTCCTCTGGTAGTTGGCGAAGCCAGCAAAGATCCTTGATGGCTTTTTCGCGCTTTCCCTTTGCCAAATACCATCGTGGTGATTCTGGCATCCAGAGAGCACCGAGGAGCAAGCATCCTGCGGGAATGAGCTGTACAGCAAACGGAATGAGCCATTGTCGGTGTGAAGGTGCCATGGTCTCCTGAAGACCGTAGTTGATCCAGAAACCGACCAGTCCACCGATTTGCCAGCCGAGCTCATAAATACCGACTAGTCGTCCACGTACAGCGGGTGGTGATAGCTCAGAGATGTAAATGGGAACCATGTTGCTGCAACCGCCAACACCAAGTCCGGCGAGAACGCGGCCACCGATAATCAGACCGAGACCCCTTTCGCGATTGGCACCAAGCATCATACCAGCGCCTAGCATGAACTGAATAGGACGCCTTGTCAGTTTGCTTCTCCAAAACAATGTCGCCTGGGGTATCAACTCACAATCAGAACCCAGAGAATTAGAGACCTCTTCCTGCCGACGTAGTAACTCGACACGTATGCGCCAAAAGCACCAAAGAAAGCACCGGCTTGGTACACGGAGACGATGTTGGCTTTGGTAGTGTTGAGATGTGATGCAGTCATCTCCTTGAAGCGGAACTCTTCGACGAACGAAGGAAGTGCCAGTGTGGTACCGATGAAAGCTGAATCATATCCGATCATGCAAGCCGCCCATGATGCGACACTTGCGGCGGTATAGACTCGCCAGTTGTAAACGGCCTTTGGCGTCGGCCTGTCCTCGACAAGCGCGAGAATGCCCATGATGAAGGTACTGTCTGACTTGGCTTCCGAAACTCAGACGGTGTTGATGAGAGGGGGGATGAGGTTGCAGGCCAGGCCAGGGAAGCAGCTGCCGGCAAGGCGATGGGAAAAAAGAGATGGCTTTGATAAAGTAGAGATCGTCCTGCATCTATACTATATACTCCTGGCTAAGGAAAACGTGCTCTTTTGCGGAGTAAAATGTGGAGAAGGCGTCGGACTCCGCATGGAGTGTGAGCTGTAAGGATGTCAAAGTGAATTTGACGTTAGTTGATTGGCCGTGGTGCCGGTTCGCCGGGAATGTGATGGTAAGATCCTGCCCCGGATGAATCTTCGAACTCTCTTCCAGCAGATCCAAGATTCGAGCGATTGCGGGGAAGTGCATTTGCAGGTCTGCGCGTCCCAAGACTGCAACTTGCGCGCCTTTGGTGCCGAATGCGGAAATGCTGGTATTATCCAGACGGTTGGGAGAGATGCAGAGCGCGGAATTGCATTTATACGCGAGGTTTAGCGGCCGTTGTCGCTCTGTTCATTGGACACTACGCGCAGACGCCAGCAGAACTTCGGTCCGTAGTTTGCACCTGGACAACATGCACGCGCCTTTCTCCACATACAGCGTGTCTTTTTCCGGGGCTCAAGCGCTCCAGTTCTGGCTTGTCGGACTAGGCATCGGACATGATGATACGAGTTGGGAGGCCTTTGGTGGAGAAGGTGTACGCAGTATCTATCTTGAGAGCAGCACCTTGAGCACACTTGATAATCTACCTACACCCCACTTTAATAATACGACAATTCAACTTCAACTTTCAGAAACTGATACCCTGCCATTACCGTAAACCAGCACCAAGTCTTCACCTCTGAATCACATAATTTTACTCGTCAACAATGTCAACAGAATCAACAGAAACCAGAATACCAGACGTATCCCAAACAGAACGTCATGGCTACCTCTTCGGCTACCCAATTGCACACTCAATGTCACCTCTGCTACACCAGACTGTATACGATGGGCTAGGGTTAAACTGGTCACAATACCCTCTAGAATCAAAAGACATGTCACTCTTCCTTCAATTAATCAAACATCCACAATTCTACGGTAAGAAGCCAACTCAATAATACCATTTAAAAGAATCCCAAATCCTAACCTCCTCCAACAGGCGCCTCCGTAACCATGCCCCACAAAGTCGCTATCCTCCCCTATCTCGACGGCCTGACAGAAGAAGGCCGTGATGTCGGCGCCGTAAACACTCTTTTCATCCAAGAAGACCCATCGACAGGAAAACGGCTCTACATGGGCACAAACACAGACGTCATCGGCATCCGTGACGCCTTCGCCTACAACGTCGACGCCTCAAAGTACGAAAACAGACCTGCTCTCGTCATTGGCGGCGGCGGCGCAGCACGAAGTGCCGTTTACGCCCTTCGCAAATGGATGAAAGCCAGTGCGATATATCTCGTAAGTTTTCCTATATCCTTACCTCCCCATAGATAGTAACTCAGTTGGCAAAACAAACAAACATTCTGCTGGAAGTTATGCTAATGCGAATTCGAAAAAAAATAGGTAAACAGAGACGCCTCCGAAGTCTCAGCCGTAATCTCCGAATGCAACGCCCGCGGCTACGGCTCTTCCCTCATCCACGTCTCCACCCTCGCCCAAGCTCAATCCCTCGCCGGCGTCGGCGCAATCGTATCCTGCGTCCCCAACTTCTCGCCCGCAACACCACAAGAACACGAAGCCCGCGACATCCTCAACTGCTTCTTGCAAAAAGAGCACAAAGGCGCGCTGCTCGAGATGTGCTATCACCCTACTACATGGACCGAGATTGCAGAGATAGGGAAGAACGAGGGGTGGCAGATCGTCTTAGGGACCGAGGCGCTGATTTATCAGGGGTTGGAGCAGGATCGGTATTGGACGGCGAGGGAGGTGAGGGAGTTGCCGGTGGAGAAGGTGCAGGAGGCTATTGCGAGGAAGTTGAGTGAGGCGAGGTTGTAAAATGTACATACTATATGACTTGAACGAGACCAAAACAAAATTAAATCAAAATGAAGACCGATATATATATAATTCTATACAATTGTCTTGATTTCTTGAAAAAAAGAAATTGAGTCTATGCTCCTGGACGCGAATAGTCTAAATGTCGTACCCTCCTCCATACTTCGCGTACCGTTCTTTCTTGACTCTGACGTCCTGTCTCCGTCGCAGATGGTCCTGCCGGCCTGCATATTTCCTCGTCAGCATACCTCCCCACCCCAATTCAGAAGAATAAAGTCACAAAAAACAGAAAGAAAAAAAAACTCACCGAATAGCCAAATACAACCGACTCCCCAACGCCACCTCCTCAATCGGTGCATTTGCCCAATCCTCAGGCGGATTCGCCGTAGTGACCAACCCCCCGGCCTCCTGTAAAATGGCAATTCCAGCTGCAACATCCCACTCCCAACAGCCCCCCTCCCACCAAATATCCGCGCCACCCATAGCCACATATGCCAAATCTAGCGTCGCACTGCCCAGACTCCTGACTCCATGTACCATCCCCCCTTTCCCTCCTCTCCCCCCAATTTCCGCCGCCATGTTGAGAAAGCTTTCAACCTTGCGATGCATATTTCCGTCGGGAGTATCACGTCTATCCTTGCCCCACTCACATGCGAAGACGCAGCCTGCGGGCGCATTGGCGGGCATGGGCGGTATGCTGGGTTTCTGGATGAGCGGGAGGCGCTGGGTTTCGTTTAGGAAGGCGCCGCGACCCGCGCACGAGGTGAAGAGTTGGTTGGTAAACGGGGCGCAGATGACGCCGATGAGCGGCTTGTGGTTGTGGATGAAGCCGATGCTCGTGCAGAAGGTGGGGAAGAGGTGGATGTAGTTTACGGTTCCGTCAAGAGGGTCGACACACCATGTTGGCGAGGCGTCGATTAGGTAGTCGCGCGAGGCGTTTTTGGAGTAGGTTTCTTCGCCGATGAATCTGGGGATTGTTAGGTGGACTGTGGAGAGAGAAGGGGTGGGAGGGGGGGGGGGAAGAAGGGGGTGGGAATGTACTTGTGTGAGGGATATTTTTCTTGGATTTTTGTCTTGATGAAGGCTTCGACATTTTCGTCGGTTTCCGTTACTAAGTCTACTGCATTCTCTTTTTGTACGTGTTGTTTTTCTTCTGTTGTTGCGTTCTCGCTGTTCATTCTTGCTTGGGCCGCGTCCATAAGCATCTTTCCCGCCTTCTTCCCCAGGTCCACCGCGAACGCATAAATCTCGTCTAGCTCTTCTCTTGAGAGCTCAGCCATGGTAATTGTGCGTTTGTGTATGTGTAAGAGCTTCTCTCAGGAGACGAAAGGGTATTGTGCTGCGGTGGTCCGCATACATTGGAACCCATTGCGCCGCTAGTTTCCTACCGTCAGAAGCCGTACCGGCTAACCACGGTGGAAAGGCCCACAGATACTATGCATTGGAGGGTCATGTGTCCTGGTTTGGGGGTTGGGGAAGGAAGGCCGATCGTAGGCATATGGGTAAGTCCTTTTCCGATTCCGACATCGATCCAAGCCTCGGAATGAGCGTTGTGGAGACCAACACCAACATGCTCCGCGCACGCGTCTTCAACAACTCTTCTACTTGACAGTACTCCAAACACTTGAGTGTGACATCCAAAAAAAACCCCTCCGCAAACATGCCAAAGACAAAATCCATCCTCCTAATCAATGGCCCAAATCTCAATCTTCTCGGCACGCGCGAACCCGCAATCTATGGATCCACCACCCTCTCAGACGTAATCTCCTCCGCCACAGAACAATGTGCCAAGCTCTCTATACAATTCTCACATTCTCAATCAAATCATGAAGGCGTGTTAGTAGACCGTATACATGAAGGGCGTGGAAATGTCGACTTTATCGTGATCAACCCTGGAGCTTTCACGCACACGAGCGTGGCACTGCGGGATGCTTTGAGCGGTGTGGATATACCGTTTGTCGAGGTTCATATCAGCAACATTCACAAAAGAGAAGCTTTCAGACATCATAGTTACCTGAGTGATAAGGCTGAGGCGGTGATATGTGGACTCGGTGTATTTGGATACGAGGCAGCTATTGAATATGCTGCCAGGTTCCTCGAGAAAAAGGAGGAAGACGATGAAAAATCAAGGCTTTAGCAATTTGGTTGAGTAGCCTTTGTGTACGATCAATGAAATGGCTCCTATACCAATCGGGGACGGCTCTTGACATGATGTCAGACGTTCGTACTCCTGAACCCCTCGCTGATATCTTGTCTTGCTTCCAAGTATGTTTGCAGTGCTGCAATAGCCGGTAACAGAAGCATAGTCACACTCAATGTCTGCCCGAAGCCCCATGTGTTTTCTTCATTGTCGTGTAAACCGCAAAACCTTGCAGGATCCTCAGGGGCAGCAAACTTCTGAGTCAAGACTAGGGTTGCGGAAAGGATTGCCAACAGTATCTGGACTACAAACGCAGTGGCTGGGTTGAGAAAGATGTAGTACATGAGCTGTATGCCGAATCTAGCTGGAAAGAGTGTTCGGAACACGAATCTCTTCGTGTACAGCTCTCTATCTGTAACGCGACGTACGAGAGCTTGGAAAGAGCTTTCTGAGGAAGAAATTGGTGACTCGACTTCGAGGCCTTCTGGGTTGTACAGGATACACACTAGTGCTGTCGAGAAGCCAATGATTATGAGAAAAAACGGTACGAGTAACGATAAACGCTGAACCCGGGTCTTGATTACCTTCACGCCATGGCTAGTCATAACCATTGTTGGTGATAGGGCAATGGCGGCCATCATGGAGGTCATAAGAAATATTGCGAAGCAGGTGACGAGTATGAGCCGGATTTTTGCAATAAGTCTGTACCTTTGGAAGTACTTGCGTAATGTTATGAGGGCAGCGAGGTAAGAGGATGACGACAGAGCGCAGATATATAGGATTAGAACAAAATGGGCGCCTTGGACTTTGAAAGCCTTCTCAGATACCTAGAATACTTCCATTAGTATAGAAATTCTAAAGGGGAGTACGAAAGTACCTTTATCCATCCGCTGAGCAATACAGCGTATCCTGTGATGAGCTGCTGATCACCCAGGCCTATGATTAGCGGGTCCAAGAAAGGACGCCATGCGTAATGCTTCTTCCATTCGTGTTCTAAGAAACGTTCGCGAATAAATCTTAGTGGTGCGCGGAGAGTAAATTGGCCCTTGGTATCGAAAGCTTGATCGAGAAGCATAGCAAGAATCGAGGCAAACGTGGTCATGAAGCTCGCAGTGACAAAGGAAATGACAACCTACAAATTTTTCTGTAAGCTGGGGCACAGGTAGTAGGCATATCCACTTACACTAATGCCGGCGATGTCAGGATCAGCTCCGTTTCCACAATCTCCACCAAAGGACTCAATGGTATCGAAAGTGACCCAGGGTGGTGCCATAATGTGTGACTGAGAGATAAGATGCTGGGAATGAACTGGTGGAACTGAAAAGGGTAACTGGTTGTGATCCAGAGCTCGAATATAGCTCTGGAAGGTGCATTATGTGTGCGTTCGAGAGGGATTTGGAGGAATTAAGATGAGAGAGGCGAGGGGCTCATAGGAAAAGAGACAGGTAGCAGGTCTGTGGGTGAGAGGGAGATGGCGCGAGTGAGGATGTTTGAGTGACTCGCAAGCAAGGAGGGTGAGAAAGTAGTCGACCACTCGGTGTATCACATGGCAAGAGCAGCGGAGGCAGTAGCCACCAAATGCAGAGGCTACTTAGCCATAGTTATACCAACAGACATTCAAGAATTAATCGTAGAACATATATTGTTCGGGGATATTCAAGCGGGCTTTTCGGGTATCAAACAAAACTCTAGTATACATCTTTACTTCTGCTTGCTTTTCGCCTTGACCCGAGCAGCTAGTTTCTTGATGTCCTCCTGTTCATCCGCCGTATCTTGCTTTGACTTTTTACTACCCCGTTCCGCTTCTGTCTCGTCTTCGTCCTTTCCTTGCTTTCGTTTCTTCCGGCCTTCTTCTAGCAGTGCCTTCATACCTGCAGTCTCCTTGAACCGAGGATTCGTGGGATCGATAGCAAACTCATGACTCTCGTACAACTTCGCGAAACGTGGGTCAGTGGTGTTGATTTTGAAGTTGTCTTCCACCACTTGGGCATTCTTTTTGGCCTTCTTTCCCTTCTTCTTAGCCTTCTCTGATTTGACAATTTCGTTCATGTCAAAGTGGCGCATCTTGGAATCGTCCTCATCGGCCATGAGCAGCTCCAAATTCGCACGTTCTGCTGCAGCTGCCTGGTCTTGAAGCTCCTGCTCTGCCTTCTTGGCCTTCTTAGCTTTCTTAGCCTCCTGCTTTGAGGCCTTAGCAGCTTCTTCGGGATCAGAGGCAAAGAATGGATCGTTGAATGGGTCATCCTCATTCGCATCCGCTGGCTTGGTGGCCTCCTGTTCAGCAGGAGCGTCAGGATCTCTGCCAGCTTTCCTAGCAGCCCACCTCTCCTTGCGCTTCGCTTTCCTCTCCCTCTCCTTCCGTATGTACTTCTCCATTGTCGTCTCTTGCACAGGAATATCGTTCTCAAATACACCACCACTACCGCTCTCCTTAGACAAGCCTCCAGTAAAAGTGATTTGCATCTCACTGTCAGGCTTTGGAAAGTCGCGGTCATTCTTTGCGGAAGCCTTCTTCTTCGATTTGGAGGTCTTGCCAGGTGCCTCAAGACCTAACGCTGCTCTGAGACTCGCTGCCTTGTCTGCCTTTGCAGCCTCCTCTTCGTCTTCAGAGGATGAGGAATCCGTGCCCAAATACGCTTGCAGTTCATTTTCGTCGATTTCCTTGCGCGAGAAAGCGCGCTTCTGTACTTCCTTCCTCGTGGCGTCGTCAGCATCCCAGGTCAGCTTAACCTTTGAGTGAGTAAGCGCGTCCGTTGAGAACTCATTCGGCTTGTAGCCATCGGGTAGCTTGGAGCATTCATCGTGGGGATCTTGGTCGAAAGTGGTACCATCGGGAACGAATCGTAGGTCGAAGAAGTTTGCGCTTGTCAAGTACTCCCTGCCATCGAGATTATCGTAGATGGACTTTGCAACGTTGGCAGAAGAGCATGTGATGATAGCGTAGTAGTATCGTAGTCGGTCGAGTTGGTAAGCCCTCAGCTTGGTCGAATCGAACTCTTCCCCAGTTTCTTCTTCTTGCAAGACAGCCTTTGACTGGCCCTCTTCGTCCGTATCCGAGGCATCAGAATCATTGTCAGACATGCCGATATTGTCCTTGTCCTTGTTCGCGGTCGAGGCGAAAATCTCCCGGGGCGGACCTTCGATTTCCTCTCGTTGCAGACGCTCCATACCAAACTCGCTGGGGTATATGACGACGTTAAGGATTCTTCCGTCAGCTGGAACGAAAGAGTTTGCGACAGCCATGATATCGATGGCACGGATGTTGTCCCAATCCATGTTGACTGCAGCCAGACGTGCCGAGATGTCACCAGTCGGAACCTCATTGCCCTCACCAGCGAGCTCAGCCTGCTCGTAGATGTCTGCTTCTTCCTCTTCGTCGCTAGAACTTTCGTCGGACGACGATTCAAGCCCACCGTCCCGAATTGGGTCAAAGCCTTGCTGCTCAACCCGCTTCATTTCCTTCAGAACAGCCTGGTCCCGCTTCTTGCCGGCAGGGCGCTCGGGTTCATCGTCGTCGTCGTCGCCATCGCTATCTATTTTATACAACCTCTCGACAACCTTCTTGCCCGCGTCTTCTGATATCTTGCGACCATACTTGTCGACCTTGGCCTTGTTGTAAAAGTCCGGGTCGCTCTTTATGCGCGCGAATCGGGGATCAAGCTTGGTCTTGGTGTGCTTCTTGGAGGGCAGTCGAAACTTGGGGTCGGTCTGGAAATTTGCGAATCGCGAGTCACCTGTGAATTGTAAGTGGGCTATCAAATATTGTGCAAAACGACGTCGCATGGCTTACTGGCAGGCACACTAGCCTTTTCAGACCTTTCGGCCTTTTCAGCCTTCTTTGGCAATGTCTGTCGCTTGGGGAGAGGCATTGCGCAGTTCTTGTGTGTGATTGCAGTCGGTAAATGTGAATGCGACGCGCATCTGGGAGCTGCCGAACTTTTTCTGCCGAGCGGTAGCGTGTCGGCTGCAATGAGCACTTATTGGATACCATCTCGGTGATCCAAGCGTAGCCGGGGTCCAGATGCCGATCTGGGGAAGCTGCGTCACCATCATACAGGTTAAACTAAGAGGGGAAATGCATCACACGACGGAACCGCTTGGAACCGACAGCTCCTCAACCATTTTCCTCCTTGAAGCCAGCCTTCATCCTTTTCTCTCATCCAGTATACCAACACTAGCTGAACAGTCACTCGAAACATCACCATGACTTATTCCAGGCTTCTCACGTAAGTCACTCAATTGGGCTATCCAGCTCAGCTCCCTTTCCCACCGACTTTATAGCTGACACCGCCACTCTTTCAGACCCCGCAGCATGGCAGTGCTGTCTATCATCTCCCTGGGAGGCGGCTACTTCACTCTCAAGTCACGTACTCTTGCAGACAAACAGACGGTTCGCAGCAATGGTGACTTTGCGGTCTCCGTTGATCGATCCGGTAGGTCGCGTCACGCGCTGTTAAACGCCCTCCAGTGCTGACTGCGGGACACAGGTGGTGGTATTTGAGCACAGAATACACTTTGTTACATCTCAATAGCAGAGGCCCTGCTGTCTGGCGTTTCTTTTTCGGTGGCGTACCCAATCTCGGCTTATTTCGTTCTCTTATCAAAATTATGCCTGTAGCATCGTATATCCTCCCGACGCATGCACGCGACTCGAATAGCGATATCGTGTAGCAAGAAATTCGATATTGTTCATAAAGCACTACACTGAAGCTATCACTTGCTGAGAGGCCTATGCCTGATGTCACGTGAGCATCTACTAGTCCGACAAAAGGTCTCGTAACCATCTACTGCGCACAGGGCGAAACACCTTTTTATAGCAGCGAGAACACATGCCTTCCACGTTGCCCGTTATAGGCTGGGTTCCGTCTCATACTCCCTATACGAGCAGTGCGGATCCGTTGGGTAGCCACAATTGGCCGACCCACCCGTTGCTAAATATAAACCACTCAGCCTCGATGACGAGAACCCACGAAAATCACAACAGCAAGCAGTCAACAACCTTGTGACTTGTTGCTCCAAATGCGAAACAACTTGCACGTTCCTCATGAGACCGGATCCCATCAAGCCGCCCGGGTGGCTTTCAGCTGTGCAGCTCCGCCTTTTACGGCTACGCTGTTACCGTTCAACTGACATACCCCGGCGTATAGCAAGGGTGCGTCATCAGCACTGTGGATATAACCTTTTGCAAGGACGGATAGGAGGGCCCCGCTCGGCCATACCCTTCGCGCATGCTTACGAGAGCTCATCCACCTGCGCGCCCGGGTAGCGGGATTGTCATGGTTTAAGCACAGCTCTGCCACGCAAACAACACATCATCCCACGTTGCTATCCCACTCGTGCTTGGTGGACCCATATTCTTAACCGTCAACTCTTGCCACCTCGCCTTGTTCGTTCAACTAGCTCTGATCCATGGTTATCTAGTCACTAGCGCCGTTCACCCAATTTCACTATGCGTATCATGACCAGCATCGCAGGGCACTCTACCATAGAAAACTCTTCTCGCAGCAAACCTCAACAAGGAGGAAACAAGATGCCACCTCACACGAACGTCGTAGCAGCGGCGAGCCATGTCCGTCAAATCTTTGAGACTAAGAAGCTCGCCTACAGTATCATGGGAGCATTCGAGATGTTATGTCTAGGGAGCGGGCGCCCAGTATCCGACCTATACTTTGCATATGAACACAAAGACTCCAGTCGTATCAAGAAAAGGCTCGAGGCAGATCGACGGTATGTTCGAGCAAACTACTTTGCAACATATCCACTGACGATAACAGCATTGTATTGACCGATGGCATGAACCCGTTGACCCCATCGAAGATATTGGTGCAAACAGGGCCTGCATACCATGATGTAGGATGTACAAGCTCTGCAGCGGTCGAAGTATACTTGCTGCCATCAGGTGAGTTTAATTATTAGCCAAACGCAACTTCGAACTAACCATTTTTAAGGTTTATACGGAACACCTCCAAGCGGCACTCTCAAAGACAACATAGTCCTGTTGGGCAACAACACCGCAGGCATGCTGAGGACTTTCAAAGGTCTCAACATGTTGTACCTGGTCAAGTCACTCATTGAGTTCTGCAAACTGCGCGACCTGAGCTGGAACCCTATGGAGAACCTGCTGCTTCTGTGCGAGCGCTACGGAGGCCAGGTTCAATCTGTTCGGAACCAGTTGGACCAGAAAGCGGCATACCAAAACTTTCTCAACACACCCTTCTTCGCGGGCTTGTCTTGTGATCAACAGCGCAGGTGCTATCAAATACTGACCGGACAAACACCACCGGCTACCACCACAACGAATTTCTCATTACCTCAGAATGGCTCATCGCGATCGCGTTCTACCGCCGATATACCAAACACCCAGGCTATCTCTGATAATGCTTCGCCAAATATTTCCCAAGGCCTTCGGCAAATGGAAAGGGAGAGGCCTTCACTGAGACATACCCTCAACATGGGGTCTTCTTCTGGAAATCCTCCTCCGAATTCCTCGAGATTACAAGAAGCTACACCGCCAGCAGGAGATTCGAGATCAAGATATCGTTCAATCAGCACTATCAACACTAGACGCGTGTCCAGTGGCCCGCAACTAAGTCTCAAGATACCGAATGAACCAGTCGGAGCCTCATACCCATACCGAAAAACTTCAGCGCCAATGCAAATTATTCCGCCTCTCCCAGAGCAACCATCCAAGCCAAATACTCAAATCTCCCCGATACCCAATTCTCTTCCGAGTATTCAAACCAGACGCTCTCTAACAAGATCCGGCGCCCAACGTGTAGGATCACGCGGATCGTATATCCCTCACCAAACACTCACTTCTGACCCTATTTCCTTGCCTCCAAAACACCCCAAACGCCATACAGCGGCCTTTGAAATGTCCGCAACCCCAATACAACTAAGAGACTCCCAAGCACCCACCGAACCCCACGAAGAATACACAGAACAAAAACAAAAAAGACTCCAAGTAGTCGGTCCAAACGGCCTCTACCAACCCTCCTCTCCACCCCCAACTTCCGCCCTACCATCCCCACCATCCTCGCATAAAACCGACTCACCACCCAACCCAATCCACGAACTCGACTCCCTCCCTAACCGCACCCCCTCATCCTCCTCAAACGACCACGACGACAACGAAGAAGAAGGCGAAGACATCATCACCTCTCTGACCGCAGACATCGAATCCGCAATGACACCCCAGGCCCCACTCCCACAATCCCTCAGCATAAACATACAAACCGCATCTCCACCCTCAGTAAAGCGAAACACACTACCTGCAAGTTTGATACCAGGCTACGCCAACACGCAAAGACCGTACACGCCACCAGAAGATGAGGAAGCGGAACAGGGATCAAAAGGACTGGTGTGGGACGGCGACACAACGGGTCTAGCGTCGCCGCCGCTTACGCCCGCTCCCCTAGCAGTCTACAAGGCGTACCGGCCGCCGCCGTTGGCGGTGGGGACGCGGAGTGCAAGCTCCATGGAGGGAGATGAAGAGAAGAGGGAGAGAGAAGCGCGGTGTGCTGATCAAGAATGGAATCTAGGAGAGCACGCCCGGGCGTCGGTTGAGGAATTGTTGGATTCGAGTATACTGGCTATGGAGTATCAGGCTGAGTTACCGGAGTTTGATCACGGGTACGGGACTGCATGAGAAAGAGAAAAAAAAGCAAGTTTGCCGCGCACACAGAGAAGAATGAGGGGTGGAAAGGAATAATGTATATTGCAATTGTTGCGATAAAGAAGGGTATATACACCTATATTCTCCCATGTACAACAGTAACAAACCGAATCATACGTAGCTTTTTTTTCGCTACAGTTTTTTTTTCACAATACAGTTTCTCACAACGGCACTTCTTCCATCATCTGCATGGCGCCTTCGCGACTGACAGTGATGATGACATCTCCGAGTGTCCGGGTGGAGAAGCCGGCCTCGGAGTATCTGAAGTAGTAATCCCATTTGCGCTTGAAAATCTCGGCACCTTCGTCGTCCATACCCTCGCTGCTCTTTTCCTTAATGAGCTGCGGCTTGATGGTGGATTCCCAAGAGTCCAGGAACTTTTCGCGCCACAGCCGCAGGGCCTTGGCGTAGTGGGGCCCAATGTTCTCGATGCTGTCGACAATGAGAGCGCCCTCTGATCCCGTGTTGATTGACGCTACAAGCTCTGAGACGGCGGGAAGATGGCCGCCGGGGAAAATGTAGCGGCGGATGAAGTCGTCTGACTTGGCATAGGCTTCGTATCTGGCATCAGGCATGGTAATGCATTGGAAGCATGCAATACCGCCTTCCTTCTTGAGCAGCTTGTCTATGCACTTGAAGTACGTGACGAGGTATTCTTTGCCGACAGCCTCCAGCATCTCAATTGACACAACCTTGTCAAAGGGTCCTGTTTCAGGGACTTGTAGGCTGCGGTAGTCGCAGAGAAGTACCGAAATCTTGTCGGACATGCCTGCTGCTCTTATGCGCTCCTCTGCCAGCTCTTTTTGTTCAATGGAAAGAGTGAGAGAAGTCACCCTGCAGCCTGTCCGCTCGACAGCCCGCATGGCAAAGCTTCCCCATCCAGTACCAATCTCCAGAACGTGATCTGTTCCCTTGATGCGTGTGTTATCAATGAAGCGGTCGAGCTTTCGCATTTGCGCCTCGTAGAGGGTTTCGTTCGCCGAGAGTGGGTTCGACTTTGGAAGCCATATCGGGCACGAATAGGTCATGTCTTGCGAGAGGAATGCAGCGAACATCTCGTTTGAAATGTCGTAGTGTGCAGAGATGTTGAGGCGAGCATTTCTGAGGTTGTTGCTACCTCTTAATAAACCAGCAAGGCCGCTAGAGATTGCAGAGGTGAAGGTTGAGCCGTTGGAGAGGTAGTTGCGGTTTAGGATGAAGAGCTGTATATGTAAGTTCCTCTGTAAATTGAGCAGTCCTCAACTTCTAAAGCTCACCTCGAAGAACTTGGTCAGATCCGGTGTTGAGACCTCTCCCAGCATGTAGCTCTCTGCAAAGCCCTATTTTCTTTTTGTAAGCATTCGGTCGTTCGGCCCCTCTCAAGTCTGTTGAGATGCTTACCATGTCTGCGAAAAGTGCAATTCGCACCCAGAACTTCTCGTCCCGCACATCTAGGAAAGCAATTGGAAGGCCTTCTTTGTCCGAACCAAATGCTACCGAGGACTTGCTGGAGCCGCCTTCGAATACCACCAGCTTACCATGCTTCAGATTCTGAAATTGTGAAAGGGTTCCATTTTTGCACAGGCTGACCAATGGTCCCCAACCTTGCGATGTGACTGGACTTAGGATTGAAGAGACCGCTCCTGTTACCGAACTGTATATTGCCATCTTTTCAGATTATTTTGCCGCGCAAGAGGTTCCAATTGCACTGCAGGTTCAAATACTCAATTGTGCGTCTAAATGTAGGAATACGACGATTGGTTCCTTTAAGCGCCTGATCAATATACAGGCCCCGCTGTGATGCGTTGGTGATGAGCGTGCGGGGTCACGTTATCGCTCAGATGATAGCCAATCGAGTTGCGACTAGTATGTGAAAAGGCCGAAAAGCAACGCTACAATGGTATCGCAAAGACACAGAGAAGGAAACGGTACGAGGAACATGAACAACAGAAAGCCGCTCAAGTCCGACGCAGGGCATACAACTCTATTTCAGAGCTCCAGGTAGCTTGCCGTCCGCTGGCCGGATTGGCCGAAAGCCGAACCGGAACATTTGTTTACGCCGTTTCGAAGCTATGCGCCTGGTGGGTACTATGGCAAGTGTGATGCAGCCGGTGAACCTTGCCACTTTTAGTGATCAATGACGCCGTCTATCCGCCTAGATATCGTGCGTGAGTGGTGCATGTCCGAGCCGGCAACACATGTACAGGGTACAAGGGACATGGCAGATTTGCAAATTCGCATGGAAGTCTGTTCCTGGATTGCCATGGATATTGCCATAGTTGAGAGGTACTGAAACGAAGAAGCTGTGGTGTAACACAGAGCCGCAGTTTAGAGTTCGAGAAGCATATGTTCCGAAGCTGGGTGAGGGGCAAGTTATGCAAGAGCATACATCTTAGCGTCTCGGGCCATTGGGGGCCTTGCGATCAGAGTCTGGGAGAGAATCGACGCCGGCAGATTGTGCGGACTCGCAAACACTCAATGGTTGCAGTTTGTAATCACTAGTTAGGGCCGAAGGCCTACCCTGGAAAGTCGGTGGTTCGATAGAAGCGGAGGCCTCGCATTCCGTTTGTTGTAAGATCGTATTGTTGTTCCGGACCGAGTCAAGGGCGAAGAGGTGCGCATATCACCATCATGTTAAACCTGGGGGGCGGGCCAAACATGGTGAAAAGAAGGTTAAAGAAGAACAAGGAGAGGAAAACAAGGAAAACAGTTGATTTTGTGCACCTGTAGCTTGGTTAACTATATTGCAGCATCGTCATCATGAGCTGTACCACATGCACTTTTAGTCTATGCGCCGCGGACACGCCAGACGCTTACACATGGCGACGGCGCGTCAACGCGTCTTCCGCGGCTACGCTTCGCGTGTTGCCAACTACACCACAACCACACAGTCGATCGGTAAAATAACATCTACAAACGAAGCACGCCGTAATATTACCCAAAATGCTCGCTATACAGCCCTCCAAGCCCCAGAAGTGCACGCCAAACCTTCTCCCCGCACGCATAAACCACAATGGCCCTATCCCTTCAACCTCACAATACTGGAAGCCCTCCACCGATGACAAGGGCACCCAACACGCTCACTTTCGGGGTCGCCACCTCCACGGCACTGTTTTGCCTCTCCCAGAAAATTATACCGGCGCCATCCTCGCAGTCACCGAAAAGCAATTACCGCAGTCGAGACGACCCACGGAGTCAGACGGTGACGAGACGATGGAGGACGGAGAAGAAGAGACCATACCCGTAGAAGTCAAGATTGCAGAACAAGTGGGGAAATTCGACGAGGTCGTTATCTGGGGACACGGAGGGGAGGTGGACCCTGGACAGGACATGTTTGTCAAGGGACTAAAAGAATGGGTGGGATTTGCAGAGAGCATGCATCTTGACGCGGACGACGAGACAATCACAGAAGCGGAAACATGGAAAGAAAAGAAGGGTTGAGGGATCGCCAGTATGCCGTGTTGGATTGTGAACGTCACGAGTGTTTGGTACACAGGACTATACGAGCAGAGTCGTATTAAGAAACGTGCATGATGTTTTGAAGAAACATGTGAGATGGGGTATAGAGGCATCAGCCTTGAATCGTTATCAAAACGATCAAAACAACGTCAAGTCTGATGCTCTGCTATTTGGCCACTTGGGTCTTATTTCATGCGGTCTTCTAGTGTGGAGACGACTATATGCAAAAGACGACGGGCATGACGAAGGAGCAGGCGTACATCAAGATGAAAGCGCCAATGTGACACTGCCTGAGATAAACTCAAAGTGTAACCAGGCAGAAAGGATATATCAATTGCATCTAGAAGACGAAAATACCGTACCAACGCATATGAAAAATCATGCCAACAAATTCTGAAAACCACACCAGCCAACATCAACCCCCCTCCCTCACACTTCCCATCCACTCCAACCACCCCCAGCCCACCCTCCCAATACTTCCTCGCCCAAATATCCCCATTCATCCATCCAAACCCACCACACGCCCTCAATCACGCAAACCCACCACCAATACCACCAAACAGCCACACAAACGCGGCTCAAATTCCGCTCCCACACACATCCCACGCCCACCCGCTCTTCCTTCGCCACCCACTTATCAATCAGCAGTGGGGGTCTCCACTCACACACACTCACACGCACCCGCCTGCGCCTGCCGTCCTGCCACCTACGAAACCCGAGTAGCTGGGAATCCGAGGGTGCGAACGCGAGCTGCAGTAGGGGTTGGCTAGGTGGATGTTGTAGTGGGTGGTTTTAGTTTGATTTGGATGGTGCAAGGGAGGAAGTGAGGCTTTCCCAGGTGTGTGGGTGTGTGGGTGGTTATGGTTGGAGGGGAGGGGACAGGGTAAAGGAGGGTTGGATTGGGTTTGGGGATCCAGTGAGAGTTGTGTGTGGAGATTAGGTGGGATGATGGGGAGGGGGAGGAAGAGGGAGATTGGGGAATTGGGGAATTTTTTTCCTGTTTTTCCTTTTTTGTGAGGGACTTAGATGGGTGAATAGGTTTTGAAATTGATAGTTTGATCTATTTCGTATATTCTTGGCTGCCAAATTTCTGCCGTCTTCGCAACAAAATATCGAAAGATGGCCAAGACAGAGTTTGTCTCAATCCCCCCCATTTTCACAATTTTGATTCACTCTCACCATTCATACCCGTACCCGAGAAATCAACAAAACTTTCTTCGCCATCGAAATGCCTAAATGACGCCAAGAACAGTCAGCAAAAGCCACAACCCATAGTGATTTGGTAAGACGTTTATCCAAACGGTTATCGCAAGGCAACACGTCATGTAAACTTCAGCCCAGTGGATGCCCAACCCCCGACTAACACCAACTTTGCATGTGGAAAAACAGCCAAAATCACATGAGCAATGATCACACGACGCAATCTTTAGAACATCAAAAGGTAAGAAAAAAAACAGGTCACACTTACCAACCTCGTTCGGCACCACCAGACAAAAAAGATGTCTCAGAGTTGAGCTCACACTCCCAGTTCCCAGCGATGCCCTTTTCGGGGTCTGCCGACCTCCGAACAAATCTGGACAGACCAGCCGTATAGCACTTGAAGTCGTCTTCATCGGGATTCTCCGGCATCCGACCTGTCAGTACCCTCCCAGCAGCAATCATAGTAGCCGCATGAGTGCAAAGCAGCACACTCTTGGGCTGCTCCGGATCATTATCGAGAGTCGTAACAATATGCTCTAGCGCTCTTCTCACACGTTGGTGTAACTCCACAATTGACTCGCCCCTGGATCCCGCCATGTGCACGGAAACGTAGTCGGCATCCAAGTTGTCAAAGTGCGGAGTCAGGAGCTCGAGACTGGGCGGCTCTGGGTGTTCAAAATGGGCGCGTCCAAAGAACTCCCTGTGCACAGACTGATGTATTAGTTACAGTAAACTCTCTTTGGTGTTCACACACTGGTGTCTTTTTTTCGCCAGAAGATCTACTGTAGGCCCGTACTTACCCTATCCCACGGTCGACCCTAATTTTACCCCTGGTCTTTTTCCCCTCATTGAAGTACGCGTCGCTGAATGGCTTCAGCGTCTGCAAGCAGCGATAAAACGGGCTAGAATAGATTCTGTCCACCGGAGGCTCGACTTTGGCGAGATAATTTGCCAGCTCCTTACTCTGGTGCACGCCTTTGGCCGTCAGTGGCGGGTCGGTCGGTATGCCGGTTGGTGTGCGTGCCATGGACGCGGTGTAGACGCCTGTTTGAGGGTCCACCGACCAATTTGCCCGAAACTAGACATGACAAAGACACCGTCAGAATACGTCTTCATGATGACGGTCAGCAGATCGGAGTGGGGAGAGATCTTGACCCCAGGGTTTGACGGGGGCGGCTCATTTGGCGGAAGGGCTACTCCGTATAACACATGACAAAGTTGAGAGGAAGACGCGATGAGAAAAGGTAGCAATGCAAGGACGAATGGGACGGGTGGAAAAGGCCTAGGGAAATCAAGATTCATCTAACATGGCCCGTGGCGCATCTGACGCAACGATGAACCCAGGACGGCTTCTTACACAGTAGAGAGATAGCAAACTTTATACTTACCGCATGTCGGACAATATAGACAACCTCTATCATAGTCTCGGAATTTTTCCTTCCCGCACGCTTCGCTGACAGCGGCTATGATATTAGTGTTGAGCAGTGTTGGCTGTCAAGCGCACGTACGAATTGCCTTGCGATGAAGAGTTCGCTACCAATCTCCCCAAATGCCTCGGCTAATCACACTTCCGAGATGCCAGCTCTGCGCGTGCAATGCTCAAGAATAGCTATTCGTCTTGGGGGCCGCGGGGCTTGGGATTGATGATAATATTGGTCAGTGATTGCTGTGGTTGCACAATTTCCTTTTCCCAATGGGAATATGTACATATGCAGTACTGCAAGCGATGTGAAACAATCGGACCGTTCCTCCCATCCCATGCCCGACCCTTTCGGATGCATGTGTACAGCCTACTAGTTAGTACTTACGCACGTTAGCAAATAGTCGTCATTCACGTGTGAAGCACCTTGCGTGGGTTCGTTGATCAGCGCGGCAGTCGAGACTTTTTGCTTTTGCAATTAAGCCACACACCGCATCATCGCCGTCGTAATCGGTAAATCCCACGCTTCTAGCCCTACGCATACAGTCGACCTGCGTAGGATCTGCTAGCGCAGCCCTCACTCGAGATATTTCAATAAAATACATGTTTACCGCAATCGCGGTGGAGGAACGCGCCAGCCCTTGGACGAAGCGCACCGACGAGCTGCGTGAATTCACGCTCGCCCTGCTGACTGCTGACTGCGAATCTAGGAACGTACGCTTGCTTGACTATGTTGAAGCTTAATATCACTTTTAAGCGTCTAGGTGGACGGGAGGCTGGAACAGCTCCTTTACTCGTAGAAGAGGGAACGGCCATAACCATGGTCGGATGACCGGCGCATTCAATTCGATCCACGCAACGTCAAGTCCTTCACATGCCCTTTGTGATTTGGGACTAGCGACGTCTTCCCTTTTGCTCGCGGGACGGTATCGCTAGCGGCGGTGCAATTTGCGAAGCGAAAAAGCGGTGCGCTGACGGTACTAAGGCTGAGGAGGAGCCTCGTAGGGCCACTAGGTTAGTTCTAAGGGAGGTTCGCAAGAGCACGGAGGGCGGACAAGTCGGTATGACTTAACACACTGTGTGTTTAGACCTGTAAGAAATTGTCCAGGGCCCTGGAATCTCCAAAACATTGAGCATTGATGGGCATTTGTGATTGGGCAGCCTTGTCCGCCGCCTCCAAGTGCGCCTCATTCGTTATAAGCAAAACGGCGTGATCTGGTACGCTCCGGCACTTGCCCTTATGGTTTCGGCATGTGCCATGCTGAGCCTACTCAGAATGCGACTTGACACCGGTGCAGCCACCGACGATCGCGGCTGTCCTTGTGGTGTGGAGGGTGCTTTGCCGTCCAAGTTACACGTTGATATGCAGGATCGTGTAGCGTAAGTGGTGGAGTCATGTCCAAACTTTGTATATGATCAGCAAGGGTTCCAACGTTTCGAGAAGGCTAGGTTGTTGTCCGTCTCCATTGCGTTGGGTACTTGGAGGATCGCTTCGAGAAAAATTGGCTTGTGCGCGCTGCTGGAAGGACTTCTACGGTTAGAACCTCATCCCGAGCACTTCCGCCTGCCGGAAAACAAACACTTTTCTGGATAACGTAGCGAGCATCACGCGCACGGCTGTTATCCATTGCTGACACACATGTTAGCAATCAGGCATTTACCTGGGCAGTTTACGTGAGAAATCTCTGGGGTACTGTATGACGCTTCTACAACACCGTCTCTGTGGTAAGGAGGGCACATGACCATGGCCTCGCCATTCGAAGGCGTCGTTGATGATCGCCGGACTAAACCAAGCTCGTCAGGACCGCTAACTTGGTACCAACGTAAAAAAGGAAGTGTGGGCTGATAATGCCGATGGGCTAAATGGGCCCCTGTCAGAAACTCGGGACCCAATTGAAGACTGACATTGTAACGTGCGCGGGATGGTGGTGCACTGCTACACCAGAATCAGCAAGGGTATGCGAATCAGCCCCTCATGACTCCTGTCCTCAGGGCTGCTAGCCACGCGAAGATAAGCCAGAAGTTAGCCACTTGCGATGCGCTAAACTAAGGCTGACAGTGGCTGTTGTAGTTTGGCAGATGTATGTAGCACCTCCTCAGTAGTCGCTGTATAGCGTGCAAGGAGCCATCGCGTGCGACGGCAGTTTGAAATAATCCCGTGTACCTGGAACAAAGCAGTGAGTGTCTTCAGCCTTGTGATTTGCTTCAGGTAGCTGTAACGTGGCTGACGTTGCCCCTGGTCGTGCGATCCAGAGAGATGGTGTTGTTAAGTCTCAACAGACACCGTCACTGGAGCCAAGATGCATTCTGCGCGCCCCTAGTCAACGAATCGGCGCAACTGTCGCGTGAATTCTGTACTATACTTGTCAGCTGTCATAGTGTAGCTACGTATGTATGTGCATAGGAGCACCCGAGAGCGAATTAGAAGCTCGTCTTGCTCTTCTTCAAGCCCCCTTCTACTACTATAGAGTGGGCAGCGTTAATACTGGCGCAAAGGCATATTCTCGTTCATTTTAGCCTTACTTGGTTGACGGACCCACCTAGCTGGGTGGGAGTTGATGTCCTTGGCAATTGAGCGCCACTCACTCACGTGTGTAATCGATTGGGTATCCAGGGCTTACGCATGCCAATTTGTTGGATGAGAAGCATCCACTGTGTCAATGCTCAACAGTCATTGCGGCTGCATCCACCTTGACATTGATAGGCGGCTGCCCGTGTGATCCACCCCCGGGGTCGATTTGGTGGGGTAGAACCCTTTCATGACTTTCATGACGGTCTATCGCAACCAATAGCCCCCACTTGGAACGAGCACATGTTCCCGGACCTACCCGAGTCCGAATGGAGCTGTGCTCATTCAGGTGCCATTGATAGAAAAAAACAAACAGTTGAGGTGTTTTGCTGAGGAAATAGGACGTGGGATGGTAGCACGGCACGAGGGGCTGAAGCAGGATCTGGACGTAATGAATACCACTGGACAGGGACCCATGCATGTAAGTACGTAGAACTTGTGATTACAGAGGTGTTCGATTGCTTGGCAATGAAATCAGTGTATTGACTTGGAATTAATGGTTTTTGTTGATAGAAATCCGAGTGACTATGAAACTCAGCTGGAAAACAGAGTCAGTAAAGAGTTTCGTGATTTATCGTAGATGGCGTATTAGGGGCAGTGAAGAAACAAGAGCTTGTGAATGCAAAGCTGAGAGTGGCGTAATGGGAATCCGCGGAAACAACTTATTTTGCAACAGTGTCGTATAGTGGGATGTCTCCATCTGCCGCTCTAGCTGTGGCGCGTGGGGAGACCTTGCCTCTCATTCCAAGCTTTGTCTCAGTGACCCAGAGGCGTAGGGCGATAAGGTACCGCACAATGATGAAGATGACAATAGCCGCCACAAGAATGCCCATGATGTAGCCAGCAACAACACCCGAGGAATTCTTCTGGAGGTTAAGAAAGGGGTATACGTAAAAGCCTTGAGTGGCGTGGGTAAGGTAGGCCAAGCCAAGGTAACAAGCCAAGAGGAGAACAACGGGCACCAGGTCCAGCCAGGGCAATCTCGTGGTACTGGGGAAGAGGATTTCGCAAAATGCGTAGAGCGAATTGAGAGCGTGCTGTGACGTATTGGACCAGATGGAGAACGTGGTGGGAAAATCAGCCGCAAGGAGAGCCCAGAAAACAACTGGTTGACGTCGTCAGTTGCTTGAATAGATGCAACGCTAAGATGAGCTTAACTTACTGGTTACGATCCATGGATAGACGACAATGGTGGAGTAGAACATGCTGTGGGCGACCTGCAGCGGCTTGGGCCAACGCGCCAGGAACGACGTGCCCGTGAGCCAATAGCTAGCCGTGTGCACTGCAGAGAAGGCATAATAGAAAGCAAGACCCCAATACGTCAAGACGGTGAAAAAGGAAAAGGAAGACCGGGATTCCTCAGATCTGCCGTGCGTAGCGTTCCAGCCAAAGATGGTAAACAAGGTCGTAAATGCATACAGGGCCAGGAGTACGCGGTAGCCAAACAGAAGGCTGGGAGGCAGGGCCCAGGACGTCACAAATCGCGTGGGGTCGAAGTGCGCGGCGGAGTAGGGCGCTGTTATTCGGTGACCAATAGCCATGACGGGGGTCGAAGGGTGCCCTGTTCCCGTGCCGCAATAGCTGCCCAATCCTCGGAACGCACCGGTAAGAGAAGCGCGAGAGCGAGGAAGAAACGAACAACGGTGGTTGCAATGGTTTGTGAGCGGGTTTCGGGTGGTGGTGGTGATGCTGCGACGTGGTGTCGCGAGGGTACCAGCAAAACTCAATTTGCCCAATTTCCGAAGGCGAAGCTGAAAAGGGCTCCGTCTCCGATCCGAGTCAGGGCGGACTGCAAAGGGGGCGCTAAGGCAGCCGCAGTGTGCTATTCCGCTTTGGGCCTACGCCTGGTGATCAAGACGATACTCATCGCCTGTGCCTTCGTAATGTAACGAAACTACTCCCCCTGGCCCCCGCTTGGGCTCCCCACGCTTGCAGACATGGCTGGACGGCGAGGTCTGTTCCCACATGCATTCCCAGACGCTGCCGGGGTCATGCCTGCTCCTTGCTTTGCATACTGGCCGCCGGCATGTACTTCTGCATTCTACTTTAAGACTGCATGCCATCAAGTCTGACCACATATTACCCGGAATGCTCATGCAAACAACTCTACCTATCAGGCCTCCACCTCTACTCCATCTCTACGCTACTACGACGACGTCGGTTCCATCATCTCCAATCGAAACATGAGTGACTCGAGGATATCAGTACGCACTCTCTCGCTGCCCCCTCTATAGACCGTCACTGACCAATGGCAGCAGAAAGCGCAACACCTTGCTCGTATTCGGGACAACCAACGTGAGTCGTTCATGGTTTCCTACAGACTTGCTGTCCTGAGAGTCCATCTTGCCACTTTGTTCCATGTCGCTGCTCGCTTGTCTATCCTCCTTCACGGGAAGTCACGTGTCTGATCAGATTGCACACAGTGCTCGGTCTGTCAGATGCCCACAGAATCTCCACTAACACTTGTTCGTTACAGGACGCTCACGCGCTCGTCGTAAGGAATATCTGCAAGAACTCGAGACAAAGCTGCGCACCTATGAGCAGATCGGCATTGAGGCTTCATCAGAGATTCAGAGCGCTGCAAGGACAGTGCTTGAGGAGAACCGCAAGCTCAAGGCTATCCTCCGCGACCAAGGAATGTCCGAGCAAGAAGTGTCAGCCGCCTTGGAAAACACACCAGACCAGCACAGCAAGCAACTCCCGGCGGCATCGAGACTGAGTGCAATGCTCGAAGGAAAGACCAAGCCAGACCCAAACGCCTCGACAACCGCCTACGTAGCTTCCCACACAAAGCCCATTTTAATCCCTCGACACACACCGCCAATCCAAACCATCACTTCCCTACCTCCACGATCCACGGATTTCGGTTACGATGATTCACCTAGCCCTGGCTCGATAGTATCGGCTATGAGCACCCCGCCTCCTTCTTCCTATTCCACCACGTTCTATGCCGCACCATCAACCCCACCTGGCACTGAGATCAAGATAGAGGACGTTGCCTACGACTATCCCTACAACCGCCCATACAACAGCTCTTGGACTCATTCGGGAGATTTTGGCTATCCGGCAGAACCATTCAATTACTACAACCGTTCTACATGTGTCGAAGCCGCCAACATTGTGAGCACAGCGCGATCGGACCCTGGAACAGAGCTGGACACCGGTATGGGGTACCGTTATCCTGATCAGTACGGCCAAATGAACAATGCGGCACTCCTTAACATGATGCATGGCTACTCCCACCATCCCACCCCCATGTGACTGGACAAGTCAGACCGCTCAAACACATCGGCTCCACGTCACTACTAGCGAATCGACCTCTACATAGAGAAGACTCGCGGAGGATGAACCTCAACAAGAAGTCGCGAAGCTAGCCATGCTCAAGCCATGGCTCAGGTGTATGTTGATACATTTCACTGCATATCCAGCTTCGCCTCGCCATAGACACACACGATGCGTTCAACAGGAAGGGTTGCAGACCGGTGCTGCTCTTAACTGAAGACGTCCATATAGTGTGCCTCAATACCCATGTCGCCTTGGAGACCAAAACATCTCCTCCATACACAACGGATCGAATACCTTGTCAACAGCGTCATTTTTTTTTACCGACCTTTTTATTAGATTACGATATCTCTATAGACTGTGCTCAATTCCAGTAAGCACAATGAATGATTTCAGCTATTCAAGCACCTTGTCTCTTTGTTTACGCAGTCTCTTGCTGCTGTCATATCATTCTGGCCACCCTACGCACCTCTACCCTTGCGACAAAAGAATAACTGGAACATACTCCGTCTGCATCACAGGCATTTCGACAATACTTGTTTGGGTGGTTGTAGCTACTTGTTTTCCCACCTGAATTCTCTTTTCAGCTTTCAGTAATTGTTGTTTCATCCAATCGTGTAACATTTTTGTATCAAAGGATTGTGCCCATGTTTGGTGCATCCAAGGTCAATGCACACAATACATTGTATAACGGACCCCGGTAACGCTTCTAGTTTCTACGTTGTTTCTTTGTCCTTGGAATCGATCGGCACCCGGCAACTCTATAAATGCGGCACTCAGTGTTGTTATGCGCTAACAAAGGCGAAGTTTTGAAAGAACAAAAAACAAGTGTACATGTCAAACAAAGGCCTTTGTAAGAGCCACTCACGATGACTATTCATTTGAAGACATCTTATGGCACTCTGCCTCTGATGTTTTAGAATTCAAGAAATTTCGGAGTATCCACTGATCCAGCATGCCACCCAAACGCCAAGGAAACAGAAACAAGAAAGGCCCAGTATCCAAGGGTCCCGACCTGCAGAAGGGTCCTGAAGATGCCAGCCGTGCATATATCCAGGTAGACTGGGCGATACCCAAGGCGAAGCGGAAAAATGATTTTGACCGAAAATACTTGAACGATTACGCTCGGCCTTTGTATGAGAGAGACCCGGACGAGCTACGACCAACGCAAGCAGGCTTGCCCGAGGCTCAAATACGCACGCCGATCTATCAGAAAGATGGCAAGGACATGTTTGCAGGAGATGCTAATCAATCCAGTGCAGCATTGCGTAGCTTTTACAATGAGATCAAGAAATTAAGTGCCAAGGAGCCAGACGGACTTCATGATATTGCTGCACTTACAGGGCAATTTGAAGAGGGGGACGAGAATGCTGCCGTGGTCCTATCCAGAGCGGAAAATCAAGAAATATTTGTCTTGGACACAGAACGACGTCTGCAAGTGTACGTAGGGCGATTTTAAGTTTTGTATTCCTCGGCTAACCTAGACTAGAACCGTCAATGATCAAACTGCTCACGTCGATTTCATCCGACGGGCACCATCAGGAGCGGAGAACCAGAGGCTAGGCCATTTTATCGAAGTCGCCCTAGAGACATCAATCACCGTCAATGGCATCACATACGTCAATCAGGGTGGTTCCTCGCCTGCACCCTTCTTCATTGGTCCTCTTGAAGACTTTGCCGTCATTGAGCTGCTTTCACAGCCGTTGTTCTTTTTCCGACATGAAGGTAGCTTGAAGTATAAGGCGACTACTAGGAAAGCTGCCCCAGATGAGATGGAGCGTCGCGACAGAAACGGAGATGTTGCCAGGGAGAATGTGGTAATCAGGTGGCTTCCAATTGGGTCACCTGAGGATACATCACAAGAAATTGGGAATGATGCAGAGACCACAGAATCCATGTCTGAACTTTTCCAAAATCTCGCAAATGAACAAATACAGCATGAGTTTGAGAAAGTCGGGGAAGTTGATGAAGTCGAGGAAGAAGAAGACGAATATTCCGACGCATTCACAGACGACGGCCGGCCAATCGAGAATCCGTCCAGCTATTTTAAAACACGCCTCAACCAACATTTGGAAGATAAAGTAGCTTCCCTCATCCCCAGGGTCATCGCTTCCGTCAACCACCGACAGCCAGAAAATGCTGGATTCAGTTTCATCCACAACAGTACCGTCTTCCGAGCGGGAAGAACGCTAATTACTGCCCTCACCCAGCAGTCTGGTCGCCATCTCCTAGTCGTAGCGCAGATCCGACAGCCAGACCAAAGAATCAGAGTCAGAGTCCTCTATCCGCTGCTCTGGCGTAGTTCAAGGAGTCATCGAGATAAGATCAATCAAAATTTGAAACGCTGGATTCTGGCGTCTGAATCGAGCAAGCAAACGACGGAGCATCTAGTCATGGATACCGAGTGGGTACCTTGTGCGCAGGCCACTACCCAAGAGGCTTCTTCCACATACACAGTTTTGAATGCGTGGGCCTTAGTCATGGGCTTAGAGCTTAACCCAGCATTTACTCCAGATCGCCACAGTTACGAAGCTTTCTTTATTCAAGCAGAGGGGATATTCCATCTCGCTTTGGAGAATGCCTTGACTTGGAAACTGCTTTTGTCGTTCTTTCGTTGCACTGGATTCGTGAAGCCAGCTGTTACGACAGAAGCCAATGATGATGAAGATGCTGACCTACCAGCTAAGGATCGCCGTTTTGATCTGCGTAAGCGCCATTTCGACATTCTGATTGCTGATCAGACAAAAACCGACGAGACTTTCCCAGCAAAGAAGATAGAGACGAAGCAGATTCCCGTGCAACTCGAAGATGGCATTCTTCACAGCGAAACACCCTCGTCAGAGTCGCTCTCCAATGAAGAATTGAATGAGCTGATACCCCTTGTGCGTGAAGGAGGATGGTCACTGCAATATATGACGAATCAGCCGAACCAACACCTTTCTGAGGATACAGAAATGTCTGAAGAGTCTTCCGAGACGTTTTTGTCGCTGGAAGATTCACCTGTTCAGCCTCCTCAATTGGATACCATTCCCGTACCAGCTGAGTTCAACCCCTGCGAATATCTTCATGAAGAGCTGAACAAGCTAGCCAATGGTACCCAGATCACTCAGAACGATCTGCCGGAAGCACTTGCAACAGGGGTACCCCAGTTAACCAAGAACGAGATCCGAGAGAGCATAGCATCCGTCATCCGAGCCGTTAATCAACGCCACGCCCCAGGCGCAGGCTTCACCACCGAATCCTCCACAACTGAGGTCGAATCATCCATCACCAAAAACGAAGACTTGATCTCGTTATACATGCTAGAGGCAACCGAAACCCACAATCTGTGTATCCTGACACAAAATCCCGGACCCAACAGATATTATGACACCGTTATCGACTCCGCACCTTGGTTAACAAGCAAAGCCGCCAGAGCCGAGATATATACTCGCCTCGGTTCCCAGAAACCCACCGCAGGGCCTCTTAAGTGGGTCTTTGCACCGCAACAGGCGCGCGAGCATCATGACGGATATCATGTTGTGCTTAACGCATGGAGTATCTTGCTGGATTTGCCTTTGAACAGTGAGGGTTTTGTTCCAAGCCCAGAATTCATCCGCGATGCACGCAACGTTATTCAAGCTGCGCTGCGGGGCGAGGCGAACTGGCTGCTTATCTGGGCTTTGCTGCGCTGTCATGAGTATGTAGCTTCGACGGAGGCTCCGGGGCTGGGAAGAAGATTCGCTAGGACGATACCGGAGAGTGAGCAAGGAGCATATGAGGCGTTCATGCGAACAAAAAAGGGGGAGACCGTTGGAGAGGGTGTCAATGTGTGTGAGTTGTTTCTTACAGAATCAACTCAAAATCACGACGATTCATTCCGTTGGGATCGTCTTGATACGGAGGATCGAAACACAAGGATTCCCGAGTTGCAGCGCAACGGGCTTTTCGACAGCACTCTGTCTCGCGATGAGATTCGAAGGCGATATGCCCCATTGAGTAAACCTTCCAGCCCGTGCGAATCCCTGAGAGACACTCTGAGTAAGCTGTTAGCAAATGAGCAGATACGGAAGGAGCTGAAAGAATTTCGAAGCGAGGGTATAATAACGACAGAGAAGGGAGTTTGGGTAGATGATACGGAAAGTGCTCTCGCTATGAGCGCCGTCACCATGGCCATCAACAACATACAGAGTATCGAAGAAGGATTCAGCATCGTCCAAAGTCAATTCGTGCAGTTATGCCAGGCTTGGGACGGGGCCGATATTGAAAACTATATGCTCGACGCTCTTCGTCCTGGTCGTCCACTACTTGCTCCAATCACTTTTAAGAGCCATATTGTTCTTCTCCTTGCCCAATTTGACGAACAAGGTCTACCGACGGTTTCTTTCTTGGACTCTCTATTCTATCATTACGATGCAGAAGATCGTGAGAAACTGTTCAACATTGGCTGGCAGGTTCTGCGTGGTTCTTCTTGGTGGAAGGGGGTCTTCGCGGATAAAAATGCCTTTGAGAAGGTGAAGCCAAAGTCCGCGACATGGGTAGAGACCGCTCGCCAGCCGAGCGCGAACGAATGCGGATACTTTACGATCCTGAATGCATGGGGTCTGGCCATGGGATTGGAGCTCAATCAAGATGTTCGACTGCGATGGACCGATTCGTTCTTCCAAGAGCTGCAGGACATGGTGCATCTTGTGCGTCTCGGACATGCGGATTGGAAACTCATCTCTGCTTTTCTACAGTGCCACGACATTGTTCGAGATGGTGTTGTACCGGAGAATAGGCGCTTTGCTAAGACTCATGCAACACGGATTGAGCCAAGATTTGATGATGAGCTGGCAACCCTCCTGGCTACGGAAAAGTTGCACTGGGCTAGGCAAAAATATCAGACTGAAGCGTTGAAACGCATGCAAAATGCGAACCGCATTCCAAAAATGACTGGAAGACCGCATAACGGGAAGAAAGCGTTCCCTTCCGACGAATGGGTTGATGTCACAATGAAATATGAACATATACCACGACTGCAGCGTTTCGGTCTCCTTGACATCAACAATAGGGAGAGGGAAATTGAGTTAGCCTTTAGAAATCTGGCGAAGACCCGAGTAGAACACTGCCTGAAGAGACTACCACCGGCAAACTCACAGTCTATTGCAGCCAGGCAGGAAGCCATTCTACAAGTAATCCGAGATGAGATCAACTCGCACTACGAAGGCATGGACTCAAACATCCAAAGGGAGCCCCGTGAGTGGATTGAAGAAACCCTTGATTTTTACGACCAAATCCGAAAGACCGCCAAGCTCCAGCAAATGCTGAACAACAAGGGTACCGTGAGGCCGAATGACTGGCAACGTCTCATGGACGACTCTGATCTGAACCTTGCCATGGCATCTGTGATAGAGGCCATCGACAACCTGCAGTCAGGCCTGCACGCAGCGTCAGGATCGGAGCACCCATTTGCTGGTGGTTTTGCCTTGACAACCAGTACCACCCTCCAAATGGCACTGAACGGGATCGAAGGCACCCCCTTCTCGCGCCCGCGAAGGACCTGGCTTATCCCACTAGTCGCCACCAAAAACGGACTACTGGAGCAACTGGAAGTCTGGGCTAGGACAAACGGCAAGAAGTACACAGCTCCCACTGGCCGTGCAGGCGGTCACGCATTCCTCGTAGTCGTCCAAGAAGCAATCAACCACGACTCAGAAAACCCAGCCGAGACGCGTTTTGAAACCCACATTTTCGACAGCTGCCTCCGCGTCTTCAACGACGTTCGGGACTTCTTCTCTGTGCGCGTGGAAAACGCTGCTGCGGCGCTAAAGTGGTCGACGCACCGCAACGAATTCAATGCTGTGCAATTCGATGTTGGAGCCTTCGTTCATGAAAACCTTCCTCAACAGATGGCTGGTGGGTTCCAGTGCGGTCACCACGTTTTGATTAACGCCTGGATCATCGCTATGGGACTTCACTTTAACCCCGAAGCCAAGTTCACCACTGAGATTTACAAACAGGCCTACACGCTTACTCAAGCTGCTCTGGCCGGTATCTTAGACTGGCGAACGCTTGTCGCGTGGTTCTTCTGGCACAAGCTTACCGTCGAGCGCACTTTCGATGCTGTACCCAAGAACCACCGGTTCGGACGTACCGTTGTGCAACGCGATGAGGGTGCGCTGGGGGATAGGATCAGGGAGCAATATGCAGTTCTAGATACCGTTCTGGAGAAGCATAGTCTGGCGCAGGTGCCGTATGATCATTCGAATAACTTTGTGCAGATTGGTGCGAAGAAGAGCGGAGAGAAGGGCGGAGAGGGTAGCTGGGAGCATACTGAAGAGAGCAGCGGAGATGATAGCGATAGTTTGAGTAGTTTGTTTGGGTTGCAGAGGCGTGTTGATGATGCCGAAGGGGAGTTTCTGGAGAAGCGTAGGGGGATCAAGAGGAAGTGGAAGAGGGACATGCGGTTCTTGGATCAGTATGGTGAGGGTGAGGGTGAGGGTGAGCAGGGTGCAGGAGGTCAGGCTGGGAAGAAGCGGCGGCTGCTTGGTCATTTGACTCCGCTGGATGTGTAGGATTATTGGGAGGTAGCTAGCTGGTTTGTCTTTTTGCTGTAGTAAGCGTCATATAATGAGTAAGTACATCTTTTCTAACGTCCATCCCTATGACGCGAGCCACATCTCAAATTACATCGCCTAAAAAGCATCTTTAAATGACTTGTTAGGGTGTAGCCCCTATGTTAATACTCTCAAGGGTTTTCTGTGTGTGGATACTCAGGAACCACGACGAATTGGTAGGGGCTGGCTATTATATATACGCTTTTGTTTACGCAGTTGGTCTCTGATTTACTTGTGCAACCTTGCCAGATCGCGATAGTAAGTGTGCAGGCGATATTCGCACTAGTGGGTAGGTAGAAGTATCATAGAAGAGTATGAAAGTCGTCTTATCAGGTCGGCCTGCTCTAAACTCCCGAGCGCGGCCTATCAATATAATAGGCCGATTCGGCGCCTGGGATACTAAGGTTCTGTACTTATCAGCGATTGCGAGATGGACTTGTTAGCGATGCAGTGAGGGTTCTCTGAACCGTCACCAGATAGTCTCTTGTCGCAGACCGGCGACAAGGGGACAACGTCTGCGTATCTTTCGGGCGACAAACATTCCAGAGATGTAGAAGATACCAAACTATAGTATTCTTGTATTTGAGATGGAGTTGAAATTGATTGGTGGTCAGGATGAGACGAGAGAGATGAGATAGGAGAGACAGGCCAACGAAATGGCGGATATGTAATCTAATACGCTATATAGCAAACATATATTTAAAAGATGGTCAAGTAATAATATTCTTGTATTGAATGATGAAATTATACACGCGCTGCAAGCTGATGATGCTTTCAACCTTCATTGCCTTGTATGTGGCTCGCGAGGGAGAGTGACTCGCGTCACATGGACGGACGTTGATATTCCCCCCTAGGTTACCAGATGTCCCCTGTTACCGGATAAACGATTGGTACTTTGAGGTTTAGTAACTGATTGTATCAGATCCAGTCTGAAGTAGAGAATTGAGAGATGATGATAGGCAAGCGTGGCGCGCGTCTCGAGAGGTCTAGGGACACCGTCAGAGCCTGAGACTTGCATGTCGATAAGAAAAAACACCAACCAAGAGAATCCAAAGGTAGATCATGCGTATCAGTAGTTCCAATCAGCTTCGCGATACGAATGAATTCAAGAGGGGGTGTAGTGTTGTGTAAGGAATATATCTACGTGCCACTTATTGACTGGCTGATGAAGGTTGGTAATGTGACACAGGATTATCAGGCTGCAGATATATATTGGGGATTCCTTTTCGGAGTGAATACACTGCCTTCTCCACTCAATACAGTACAGCAATTGTATTTCAACTCTGTTCCACCCAGCTCGATTGCGGGTCCCCCCTTATCATTTTGAGCTTGGTCTTGCATCGTGTCACAGTACTCTTCGGGTTGCTCCTTCATGTCCACTACCTACGTCCTGCATTAGTGTTGATCTCTAGCGATTATCTAAACTGACCTAAGAAGCTTCAAAATATTAAGATGGACGCTGCGGCGTATGTGGACTGGGTCGAACTGCAACACTTGATGAAGGAGCGGTATCCTGACCTACCCTTTCACGAGGCTTACGTCGACCTTCTCCATGATGCGTTCATCAAGCTGCCCGAAGATCACAGGAAGAGGATTGCGTCGATGTTACCAAACCTTGTGCAACAGTCGCCTGAAATAGTGGAAGCGTTCGGCAATTTCGGGGCCATGCGGTAGTGGTGTTCTTCTCCCAGGTCGCTGGTATTATCAGAAACATCATAATGGCCAACAACACCGATACAAAACCCGCAGTATTGGATAAGGCTACTTCCGGTTCAGTGCGTCGTAGTGCCGAGGCAGTTGCAGCAAGTGCCAGAGTTGCAACTGAGAACATGCAAAGGGCTGCCGATTCAGCAGACCGTGTGGTCCGAGAAGTTCACCAAACCCACGTGATTGGAAAATCGCTCGTTGATCGGATCGACTATTACAGACGTTGGCACAAACCGCCTCAGCCATTCAAATCGCTCAGGGAAACAAGGCAATCCGGATCTTGACCGAAATAAATGATCATCTTGGCGAGAGCAACAGCATTGCCGTATCTGGCAGCGGAGGCCCTGACGGTTTTGCTCAGCACGTCTACGATTTTATCAGAGAAGAAACTGATAACATCGATGAGTCTGAGGCGGATAAGCATCGTTTCTTTGTGTATCATCCTGACACAAACTGGTATGGAGCATTCCGTCGACTGATTCGTGAAGACCCTCTTCCGCCCACGTTTTGTGCCAAGTCAGATAACTTGGACACCTTATGTCAGTACATGCAAGGTGTCAGGGCACAATGTGGAAAAGATGTCGTCTTCCACTTATCGATCCCCGCCTGGAGCCGCATCTCCATCAAGGAGCCCTTACATTTCCCGGACGGCCTTCAGCCATTTCAAGTCAAAGGAAGGAAGCACAAGGGCAAGCCTTATGTTGAGTTCAATCTTCCAGCAGCGCCGGCTGGACTTTTGCACGGTGTTGCGAATAATGTTCCTAACAGCATATGTTCACACGCAACTGCGAGTACAGTGTCAGCTGCCGTAACCGCGCCAGCGGTGGGCTGGGGTGTCAATGGTGTTTGTCTTGCTCTTGGAGTTGGTATAGGTACCATCACAGGAGCCGGGATGTTGGTCGGCGTTCCGATCTGGATCGCAACTGGAATGCCGGCTATGAGCATCACAGCACCAGTCATCGAAAAAGCTGTCTATGGTGCTCTTTGTGAAGAAGCACCAAGGATATTAGGGTCTAACCGACGCTTATACATGAGTCCATAACTGGCGCTTGGCCTGGGGAGAGATGTTAGTAGTTCAGAATTCCCGTTCTCGTACACGTGATACTCTTTTAGAATTTCATCTCTTTCAAATGCATAATCATATTCTCGATGTTACGACACGTGCCAGGAACACGCGAGACAAGCATTGGACGTAGACGGGCATACCACGTGGAAACGCGACCTATCATCCAAAATCTTGGCATCCATGACATCATCCCCATCCCCACGCGTCACCGCGAACCACTAAATTCCAATTGTCCAAACCACCACAACATCACCAACACCACCACTTTGCCAATTCGCCGCCAAAAAAAGATGATACTCCGCCCCTCCACTTTCCGCCTCTCCCTTCCAGCCTCGCGCCCCTTCACCCTCTTCCCCTCCTCACGCGCCCCCACAAACCGCATCTTCGACCCCGTCCGCTCACCCAACGACCTACACACCCTGACTCTCCTCAACGCCGCCGACAACCGCGCCCTAATCACCTTCTGGACCGCATCGTGGTGTCAGACATGCCAAGCTATCAAGCCTCTGCTCAGAAAATTGATTGAGGAAGAGAAAGTAGGGGAGGGGGAGGGCGGGTTGGGGTATGTGGAGGTGATGATGGATTCGGTGTTGATTGAGGATTTGCCGATTAGGTATCGAGTATGTATTTTCTTTTCTCACTGGAAAGGGGAGGGGATGAAAAACTAATAAAACGGGATAGATTAGTAGTATGCCGACGTTGCTGGCGTTTAGTCGGCAGGAAGCGCAATTTGATACACGCTTGACGAGGCCCGAGGAGATGCGGAACAAGGAATTTTTGAGGGAATGGTTGATTAAGGAGGCGTTGAGGGGTGGGAGGAGAGGGGGCGGTGGGGGTAGTATGTTTGGTTAGTGGGGTTTTCTCGAGAGGAATGATGTGCAGGTGCCTGACGGTGTTCAGGGACGAAAGAGGGGTCTGATGAAAAGTAGCGAAGGTAGGTGCGTAGTACAACAATTTTGTGGGTGAATGCTAAATGACATTAGAGTCGAGCGATATCCGGATGAGATTCGTATGCTAACCACGAAGATTCAAAGAAGTATGCACGGTAGATGCCTTTCCGAAAGATCATCATTGTAAATCTAATTTACATGTTGCGCGACTCGTCATATGAGACAGCCGCAGCAAAAGAAAAGAAAAGAAAAGCCATCAAACTTCTATGGGTATATAAACCAGAGTTGTAACTCCCGCCTGGCTCCCTCCTGGCCCTATAAGATGACCATCGGTAGTTCAAATGCAACTGAAGAACCAGCGCATCTACATTTCAGCAACTCTCTTTTCGCACGTCATGAATGCCATGTAATCAAGAGACCAATGACCGACACTACACGCCACGCTTGGTCTTCTTCTTCTTGTCGCTAGTCTCATCAAACATTTGACTCCTCTTCTTCGTAATCGTAGGGATTGGCAACAACGTCTCCGTTGTATCAGGCGTAGTGACTCCAGATTCACCAAACACAGGAGTTGAGAGCGAAGTATCAGTGAGCCCCGGTGGCAAACTAGCTTCGTCGTCATCCTGAATCTTGACGCTCTGCACCGTTTCACGCTCCTGCAACCAAGCAGCATGCTCCTCCTTGTACGTCTTTTCCTTTTCCTCGATCCACGCCCTTTGCTCTGGGTCCTCCTTGGCTGATTTAACGCAAGACGGACACTTGACGTAGAAACCACCTGACATTGCGTGTTCGTTTAGGACCTCGAATTCAGGTAGATTCTCACCGATAAGCTCGGTGTTGTCCCAGTCAAGACAGTCCTCGCAATAGCCCCGAGGGCACCAGCGGCATCTGAAGATGAGACCGCCCGCATCAGCTGTGGTCTTTGCACAGTCGGTGCAGTTGTGCTGGGGGCAATGGAAGCCACTGAAAGGGCCCTTGACTTTGCCCTGATAGTGTTCGTCGAGACAGTCGAAGTGGTAGACTCGGGGACAGGTCTTGCATTCGAAGAGCTGCCCAGCGTCGGCGTCTTCGAAGCATTCAAGGCAGTGATCTTCATGGTTGAACTCGCGTCGCTTTTCTCGGACTGGCTCAGCAAGACGTGGGTCTTTGCCGGCGAAAGTTGGCACAGCTTCCCAGTCTCCGCAGTTCATGGACTCCTTATTGATAGCATAGCCATTTACCATGACTGTGGTGTTCTTGTTCGTGCGGCGGTCTTCCCGAGTAATCGTTTCGGGTAGGATATTTCTAGAGGAGGTATCTGCGCTGGAGCTTTTGTCGAGGTTGCGCTGATGACGCTTGCCTTCGAACACGGCGCATTCGACGCGCTCCATGGTGGAAAGCCACTTGTCTTCGTCAACCTCGGATTGTGTCGTGTCAGCCAACTCAGCAGACTGGTCACGGCACTTCTTCATCATCGTTTCCAGATCCCAAGAAACCATTTCCTTTACGTCAATCTCCGGATGAGACAGTGTCTGTGCACCTCGCCGTACAAGTGTCATTAGTTGCGATGTGTCCATTTGTGGCATGTCTTCATCAATGGAGGGACGCCCAGCTGATCTTTTCGCGACTGCTTGCTTGCCATGTACGTTCTGCATGGATTCGGTAATCTTCGCAGAGAGATAGAGCTTCTTCCGGATGCGACCCATCATCTGCTCTTCAACAGTCCCCTGGGTACAGAGCTTGTATATCGTTACTTTCTTAGTCTGTCCGATACGATGAGCCCGCGCTTCGGCTTGGAGAGTGATTTGTGGGTTCCAGTCTTCGTCCAAGAATATGACATCCTGAGCGCTGGTAAGGTTGATACCTAAGCCACCCGCGCGAGTAGAAAGAAGCATGACTTTGTAGTCTGAATCTTTCTGGTTGAAAAGGCGGATATCCAAGTTTCGACGAGCCCTAGCCGTGCTTCCGTCCAACCGAAGGTATTTGAATTTTTCACCGTAGTTGCTGACAAGAGATAGCAGGTCCTCACAGCAGTCGAGTGTGCGAGCAAATCCGGAGAAGATGAGAACCTTCTTACCTTGCTCGAAGACCGTGTGCTTGAGAAGTTTCTCCAACAAAATGAACTTGCCGGAAGCGCGGATGACATGATCACCAAGGTAGTATGGATCTGGGGCTCCTCCTGGAAGCAGGTATGGATGAGAGCAGCATTTGCGCAACTGCATAACGAGATTCATAAGCTTTTTCCAAGCTCCTTTTGAGGCGTTCGCGTCGGCCTGTTCTTTCGCTACAGCATCCTGCACAATTTTTGCAGTCTCTTCCCATTCATCTCCAACGCTGCCAGTGCTGATCACTTTGTCCATCTCCTCCAGCTGTTGCAGTAGCTTGTTCTCCTGGACATCATGCTCAATAGCAGCTTTCTCTTTCTCCTTGCCATCAGCAAAGAGCTCATTCAGCATGCCATCATCGATACGAGTCAAGAGACGTGTGTACCAGAACTTCTGCATTGGTGTAAGGGGCACGTAAAGAAGCACCTCTTCCTTGGGTGGTAAACCGAGATTGACCGATGGAGAGTCCTTCATTCTCCGCAGCATAATCAGCTCGAGCAAGCGTCGGGCATCTGTCATAGTCTGCTTATTTGCTTTGCCTTTGCTAAGATCGAATGACTCTCGGAACAGTGCTTCAGTCCTGTCGTCGAAGACAGTAGGGTACAGCCAAGTCAGGAGTGACCACATCTCAACCATGTTGTTCTGAAGCGGCGTTCCTGTCAGGATTAGTCGGTATTCGGCATTGATGCTCTTCAATGCGGTGGAGATTTGGGCCAAGCTATTTTTGATCTTATGGCCTTCGTCCAGAACAACATAGCGCCAGGCAAAAGAGTGTTTGAACCAAGCTTGCTCGGCTTGGAAGACATCGTAGGTGGTCACGACAATCTTGAAAGAGTCAGAAGGGCCAGGCAGCTTGGAGACCTTTTGGCCGGCCTTGCGCAATGCTTTCCGATCTCGTGCGCGTGAGGTTTCGTTTCCTTTCATGTCTTCTAAACCGGCAGCAACCCGCTTAAGACGAGTCCGTTCGTTCACGGCGCCATGAAACCGCATTACTCCGAGCTGTGGCACCCACTTCTCAGCTTCCGTTACCCAAGAGTTGAGCACACTCAACGGACAGACGACCAGGTATGGACGGGGTTCTTCTGACACGACGCCCTTCTGCTCATCGAGCTCTTCGAGGTATTGGAAGAGAGAAAGAGTCTGTAGCGTCTTTCCAAGACCCATCTCGTCACCGAGTATACCAGAGAACCCGTTGTTGTACAGGTGAACGAGAAACGATAGACAAGACAGCTGGTAAGGCTTCATGACGGCTGTAACTCCCTTGGGTTGCTGCTTGAGCTCTTGGTATTCGATGATAGGTTGCGCTTTGCCTTCTTCTACCAGCTTCGTGACATAGTTGTTCTTGGGCAGAAGTGGCAGAAAGAACTCTTTGTTGGCGACAAGAAAACTGTTCGCTCTAGCCCTGGTGCCTTTGGCGATGTCATCGCGAAGCCGGTTGCGAGCGGTGTCGAGTTTCCGAGGGGGTGGCGCTGACTTCCGCCGTCGTGATGAAGTAGTTATAGGTATGGTGTCAGACTCCAGGATGGCGCTCCTCCGGTCCCGAGTACCCCGTCGCAGTCCCTCTGTCCTCTCTTTTTCCCTCTTGCGCTTCTCCATCTTAAGCTCCTCCGTGTATGCCGATATTCTCGCACTCGTCTTGCGGGGGCGGGCCGATGGCGCGAGTTCGTCTTCGCTATCTTCTGGATCTGGGTCTGCTGGCTTTGAAGCCGATTGCCGAGTAGTTCTTTTGGAAGTCACAGGGGACTGCTCTACTGCCGATGAATCCGAGGTGACGTCGTGTTGCGCCGTTTGAGGCGGCGGGTTGCGTTTGCTTCTACTGTCCCGAATAGGAATCGGCTTCATTTCTTCACTCTTCTGCTGTGCCGACAGTCGCCTTTTCTTGGTCGCTGACTCTACTGAGCTCTGAGATCCAAACTGTGCCAAAAGATCTTGCAATTGGCCACCTCGTCGGTTTGGGGGTGGAGTAATGGGCTGGGGAGAGCCCAGAGTTATAATGGATTTT